AGAATATATGTGGTTTTCCACGTATGTCTGAGCTTTACGATGGAACGACTTCTAAAGACCTATCAAACAGAATATTGACTCTATTGATTACTGGTATGCCTGGATGGAAAGGAGGTAACTCAGAGAGGTCACTTCAAGAAGTATCTCTGAGGTCATGTTACTCTGACCCTTTCAAATCCAAACCCTGGAAGAATAGATAATTACATTTTAAAGTATTGCCACCATTATAGCACTCCAATCACTGCTAGCACCAATGGGAAATGGGTCCCAATGATAAATTTCAGAGATTTCCCTGAAAATATCAGCACAGCATGCCTTAACCCATCTTGACTGTCAGAGAATGAAACAACAGATTATGCAGATTAACCACACACTTTGGGCGCAGAATATCACAATATTTATAAAACCTCAGGACAATGGAGAGCTGATTTATTTAGAGAAGTAATTATCCTAAGTGCTTCAACACACAGACATAGCTGGACAATAACCTCAGAACAGGAAACTATGGCCAGAGGAGTACAAACAACCCAGAGAAAACCACAAACCCACAGCCATTTCTGAAGCTTAGACGTTTTTCTCTCCAGATGAGCAAAGCTATTGCTTTACTATTTAAGGTTTTCTTGACAGGGTATGAGGAATGAAGAACAACACCACAGATTGACAAGCATAACAGCCAAATTAAAAAAAATAAAAATAAAGGTTGCCCATATTTGCTTTTTAGGTCTTTCCATTTATTGTACAATACAGTTTTTGTGCATGTAAATAGTCTGCAAATTTGGAGAGATCATACCAAACTATTTTTTTCTTCTCAAAGAAAATATTGCTGCTGAACAAAGCCTGCAAAGCTCAACAAATGTTGAGGGGGGGGGTGTCTTGATCTGGATTCACGCCAAATGAACAAAACTACATTGATTTTCTATATATTATATCACTCTGATTGAATACACAGTGAGGTAACAATTACACTGAGACATAGAGTTAAATTTTATGCTGAGCTTTATGCTTTTAATAATGTTTTAATTATAACAACATAATTTGATTCACACATGCATGAGTTGCTGTTACGCTTTATTAAGTTGTGGCACTGTATAAATATTATCCTGTTGAGGTAAACCGTTTAAACTCTTATTATTACATTATTGTTTTTTTTTGTTTTTTGTTCTATTTTTAAAATGTGACTTGAAAAGACTGAGACAGTAGTAGAGATTTGTGAAGATCCTCCAGGCAAGCAACCTGCTACCTTTGCAGAGGAGGCAGACAATAATCGATCCCCCTCAAAATGAGATGTGCAAGCACTTTTGCCTCTCTGTGTATATGTTTGTGTGTCTGTGCGAAGGTGTGATGACCTGTTGCCCACAGGCCCACAGGCACTCGTCGAAGCTCCCAGTAGCTTGTTCCTCCCCAGGCAAGCAACCACATTCAGCCCCACAGCACCACAAGAAACAAGTGAGTAAACAAGGGAAGCAATTATGAATCACAGCTTTCAGCAGACAATCTGAAAACACACATTAAAAAAAAGCTCACGCTAACGGCATTGCGTATGCATTTATGCACATTCAGGCTGAACCAAACAATTGCAGCAACATCTGCAGGGGTTTGGGGGAGTAAACATGCAGCCTTAGTTATTCTGTTTCAACAGTTCTTGATGGGCCAGCTTCTCATGAGTAAATGCTTGTGTCAAACAACCTTCATGTGAAACGACCTAATTTTTTTACACTCTCTGATCTGGATGCTTTGAATGACAATGAAAAATTCCACTAAGATTTAGGATGTCTATCACATTCAAATGGTTAAAATGAAGCATCCATATAATCTGATGTTCAGATGTATATGCCTGATGTATCTTAAAGAGCAGTAAGAAAAACATAAAGCTACTGGAACTCATGGGGACACATAAATCTGCAACCAGCTCAGGGTTGTTTAAGAAGCGTGTACTCAGTCAGTGTGAAGAAGACCCCACATACTGGTGTATTCAAACCAAAATAAACATTCATGAAGGTTCTTTCCAACCAAACACATGTCTACTGTAGCTTATAAGCTGCATTATTCCTAAGGAACACAATTTCAACCAACAAACAAAGGAATTCTTGGCATACAAAGACATCCTATCAGCCCTATCATCCATAGCAAAGAAATCCTCATTAGTAGTGGAAGTCATCTCATCACTGTCACCATCACAATGACTGTAGGGAGTCTTGTTAGCTTAGTGTCAGCTTCCCCCAGTCAAACCATTATTGTTTGAAGTCTAGCTCTGAGTAACAGGTGCTGGACGTTTTGTCCAGCCACAAAAGTCAACCTATAGCATCCAGGACACGAAACAAAATGATAAGTATGTGTGATCTGTGACCTGCGTACAGCAAGCTCCAGGAGGTAGGCCAGATGTTTCAGCTAAACTACCCTCTGCGGGGTTGCTGTTCACAGCGATGATAAAATTGGGCTGTGTCCTGCTGGTCTCTGAGTCCCTCTTGTACTTAACAATCATACTGACTGAGAATATGGTTTTGCTATCAGTAAGCTAATCCACTGATAACGCATGGATGAGAAGGTTTATAAAGGTAAGATGTCACCTCAGAGGATTTGGATACTTATTGCTAAAGGCTAAAGTAATGATCCTAGTGACAGTTAAGCTGGCAGTGTTTTTATAATGATCCTCGGCTTAGTTTGAAAGCGCAGCTGTAAAACAGTCATCTTAATGAAGAACAACAGAATGGGCCGATCTTATATTTTCCTGAAGTACCTTTTTATGCAGTCTTTGCAGACCTTTAAACAAAGCAGGTAGAATGGTGAGACAACAACGCTCTGGGGACGCATAATTAAGATGTGCGCATGGGAAGAAAAGGAAAAGGCCATCTCGACAAGAGCACGTGTTTTTTTGTGCGTCATTTAGATTATTGAACATCATCCTTATTACCTGATTTATTACTTAAAATGACACCAATAGCTGAAGGTTTCTGTGTATAACATCCAGCTTGAAGAGCTGGATCTTTGCAATATTTAGGTGTGTTTATATTAAACACATTAGAAATGGGAAAACGATGTAATCGTTCTGATTGCAATTTGGACCATTTGCAAGTGAAATGGCAGCTATCTCAGGTATAAACTCTCTATAATCAATCATAAGAGCATTCTCTCATGGGTTCAAACTGTGGTATTGCATGTACTCTGCACCTAATAGCCTCTTCCAACTCACTTGGTGACCATTTGTAATAAAAAATGTCCACTGCATTAGTCAAAAGAGAATGAAGTAAATACTGTTAAATACTGTTATTAGTACTTGGCCTTCTACTAAGGGGTTAATTTCTGTTCACATTAACCACACAGAAGTTATTATGTTCACTTTAAACTTCCTCTTGCCAGTTTGCTTCTTGTATCCTGACAAAAAAAAAGCATTGAGTAGGTGCCTATGGCTATAGATGATTATAGTTCAGAGACATTTTTTTTTTTTTTTAAAACTAGATGAGTGAGCCGTACTTCTCAAATCTCCCTGAAAACTCTTGGAATTATGCGGTTACCAAATTTGTCAGTGTGCAAATTTACAGACAACGTACTGGAAAATTGGTGTCACGCACATTTTAGTGCTCTTGGTGAAGAGGATGGGCAAGCTTTAGCGTGTTTCCCCCTTTTTTTGACTGACCACTGAAATTTAAGAAAAGAGCAGGTTAAAAGCTGCATTATAGCCACGTTACTGTTTTTGCTTTCATGAAAGTGGCCTGGAAGACCATTTAGGACATATTCAGCGGTTTGGAAAGTGTGAAGTAAATACAACTTTTCGTATGTTTATTTTAAAGAATGTGATCCAAAAGTAAGGTTGTGTTTAAGCCACACGTCTTTTCTGAAGTTATTTAAGCTGCTGTAGCCTTTGGAAGAATCACCTTGTGTGCTGTCAAGGAAAGGAAGTTCTGCATCAGATAAAACCATCACTCAGTGTCAGACACTTACGAAAGCTCTAGTGCTGAAAACACAGCAGTTCCTTTGCAGCTTGTGGCCACTGTTAATGTTACTGACAGCTGCCTCTGTTTTACAGAGTGAACGAGTCTGGCGCCAGCACAGAGTATCAAGGTTTCTTTAAATGAATAAATAAATAAATATATAAATAGTAAATGAAACAAATGTCATTTCATGTGTTTTGAGTCTAAAGTGCATTCAGAAATACGCATGCACACATATTAAGGCTACATTTGCAAACATTTGGAAACGCATGCTTTCAAATGGTCATTGTGGGTTATTCAACATGAGCCAATACATCACATCACAATAAATTGCACATAAAACCTTTCTTTCAGGTTATGCACACCCAACCTCCACCTGTGACTTCACTGCTCAAGGTTAACCTTGGCCATTCAATAGACAAAAATAAAACTCTGTGGGTAATAATCAATGTGCATACTGGTAATCCAAAAGCTTTTCTCTTTTTTCAGTCTTTGTCTCAGATTTCTCCCAGTGAGAATGATGTTTAAAGATGGCTGGTGGCTGATTTCCCAACTTGCAGTGCCTGAACATGAGAGGATATTTTGCAGAGCCTCTGTTCTTAAGTACACCCCTATATAATGAATTTAAAAAAGGCGCACATCCAGCTAACTCCTCCTGCATTTAGTCATGCAAATGATCTCATGCTATTGCAAAACTGAGAGTTCTCACATAAACTTAACAGCAGCCCATGCATTCAACTGTGAGCTCCAATGAATTATAATAAGTGGTTTATAAAAAGTATTTCACTGGACAGCAGGGTCACCTCCAGCTACTCCAGTCAGCACGCAGCATGGGTCAGGGGCCACACACTGGTACTGCAGTCTGCAGAGAGCAAAGGTGACCCAAATACCTGCAGGCTGCTGTTACAGATACAACTGAGAAAATCCATCATCTTCTTTCCCTTCACTTTCTGTTTCACCATCGCTACATTTTTGCATATGCACGTGCCCATCGGGTATTATTTGGAAACTTTCCATCACTAGAACACAGGCTGAGAGGGGAAAAATGTTTAGGCAATAAGCAACTCATACCTGAAGAAATGTCTAGAAATACCAGCAGAAGGTAAACTCCTGTGAGATAAGCAGGCATCTCTAAGAGCAGCTGGAAACGGTGTTAATCCAGTGAGAATGCGTTTTCTTGTCTATTTCATCTAATTTAGGAAGTTCTACAGCAGAGCCGAAGACAGAGGGGGGATCGGGGTGGAGGGAGAGTTCCTGAGCTCCGCGGTAATACAGACAGTAATGTTCACAACTGCTCCTCGGACACTGAGTTTGTGTTTGAATCAAAGTTCGAATCAGTCGGAGACATCCTTACGGGTTATCCGACAAGTAGCCCTAATCCACTCAACACCACTTGGATTTTCTCCACTCCCACTACCCAGCTCCTCACTTCCAAATGCCGCTAACTTCACGGAATTCATCTGGGATCAGATTTGTCCGACTTCGAAAGAAGATTTCCGCAGCTGAATGAAGAGAAAGGATCGAGAAGAAGAAGAAGAAAAAAGATCCGAAACGTCCACTTGCAGTCACTTTAATGGTTTAAAAATGTGTAGTGTTAGCCCGATTTAGTGGGACTGACGCTGGTTGGATGAGGCGCCGTGCGTCTCTGCGCTCAGAGCTGGTCTGGCTTGCCTACCCAGTCACAGGCTTTTCTGTTGTGCAGAGGAGATTCCTGCGAATCAGGCACCATTTAACCGCATACGGATACACTGACAGCAAAAAGGCTCCAGTTGGCTTTGCATCGTGCTCAACTTTTTTAAAGATGAGGCTGAAGAAGTCTATGTCATAAAACCATCGGAACACGGTATATCCAGTTTAATAAATTAAATAGCAAAGTGTCACAAGATCATGTAACACATCAGGCAACTCCAGCAACATCAGTCCTGTTTAATGAACGGCGGCAGCCTGCAGAGGACTATAGTAAACTCCAACTAAACCCTTTGTCAGGTGCCCATCATTACCCAATATTTTAAGAAGTGCTTTTAGTCACGTGCAGATTTCCCCCATCTAAACTACATCGATATTTTAAAGTGTGACTACTGCTGAAGTGAACAAATGACCTTGATGAATGATTTATACTATTTTTATCCCACCATCAAGATGAGAGACGTGCACTGTGTTCTTATTATATCCAAAAGGGACAGGCTCGGGCAACACACAAAGAAGTGCTACAATCTTAATGAGCTGGTAAAGTGTGCCTTCATCTGTGAGGCTGAAGCGTCACTGTGCTTTTCAGGGAAATTGAAAAAATCGATCCAGCTCGCACCCTGTGACCCCCACTCATACTCCTGTGAAATTAGATGATATTTTAAAGTGCGTTAGAAATGTAATATCTCGTGGATTGTGTCCTAATGTCACGTTGAAGTAATAACTGGACATCCTCAGTTATAATCCGATTAAATAAATACTTTCTATCGATAAAGAAAACTATAAACTTGGCAGTCTAATTCTCTAACCTAGTGAACCAAAGAAATGTATTTGTTGTCTGAGCAGGTCAGGGCTCCCTCTGCTGGCTGCAAGAGCGCAGCACAGTCCATGGGAAGGATCGCTCCTGAGAAATTTCGCTTCTCCTTTAGAAATTTAGAAGTACAGAAGTAGTGATATTAAATGTTAACGTTGAATTCTGACTCTGTCAACCCGGATCATTACTAATGCAACAGGATTAATACTTTGTTTTTGTCTTCTAAGTTCAGTATGTTAAATGTGTGTGTGTGTGCACGTGTGTGTGTATGAACCTTTTTGTGTTGACTGTCATATCTCATTTATTGATAGCCAAAGTCATTTAGAGACATGCGCCTTTATAATTCAGCTCGCAAATAAAGAACAATTTCAAAAATATAAAAACTTGAATGGTGTGTTTTGCTGTACTAAGTCACTAGTCATTAAAACGTGTTCAGAATTTGCAAATTAATGATGAGATATCCCATTAATCTCTTTGCTCTCTCTCCTACATATGCTGCTTTTATAGATGGGTAAAAGTATTGGTATTGATAGTGGTAGTGGCAATATTAGCCCTGTAATTACTTGCATTGGATTGATACCAAAATTTGGAGTATGGCACAGCAATACCTTATATGTTTATTTTTCTGTATGCACACACGCTCCATCCACCCGCAGTTCAAATCTAAGAAAGCTAGCTTAAAAGGAGCTAAAATGGTTTGTTTCAGACAGATTTTAAAAAATAAATAAGTATTATTTTGAACCGTGAATCATGCAAAGCCACTCTAGCAGAGTAGAAAAAAACTGAAATATAATAAATTTGGAAATGAGCACAATAGGTACCCCTCAACTTGTGCAATAAAAAAGCGTGCATTTAAAAAATTCCTCCACATATCTGACTGAAATTAGTAACAAAAAAGGAGTAAACAGTAATTATGCATTTAGGGCAAATGTGACCACCCCGGCCTACTCTCATGCCACAGAAGTGGTAATCTTCAGTAGCTTCTGCTCTTTTAAGTCACATTTAGACTGAACAAAGTTTACTTACTCAGCCGTCCCTGCCCTCATGCCTCAAATCCTGTAATTGCCCATTGTGGACCTCTGGTGGCTCTGACGAATGCATTCAGCTTTCCATGCCAAGACATCACAGCTGGTAAACAACCAGTAAAATATGGGAAATTACAGTCTCACTATGAGCTCTCGTCTGGCTTCATAAAACACGCACTCAATGGCTTTCATTGTAAACACCTCTGATTCTCTGCTGCCTTTATGCATTTTCTACCTTTCTAAACCATTTATAGTGTTAAAAATAATTTTAACAACACAGTGATATTAAAAAAAATAATTGGACAGTGCTTTCCTCCATTATTCACTTTTAATTATTTACTGCACATATTGCATTTTCCTTCTTATTTTCCCAAAGGGGGTCTCTGTTTGCCTACATTTCTTTCATTACTTGCACGTAAATATCATCCCTGCAATATGACTCTCTGGCAGCGCAGTTGGCTGAGACTATAAGGAAGAGCAGGCCTGTGATTGTATTGCAAGACATATCGTTTGGTGATGTAATAACTGCATCATTAGTCTCAATTTACTGCATTAATATGAATATACTGGCTGGAATCACAGTAGAGCTAAAGAACAACAAAAAGAAGATAAACAGAGGTTCACCCATGCATCTTTTGTTTTATGCATGCATGGCCTCTACATAATGCCAGGTGCAGTATGCGCCGCTAAATGCAGAGTTTGTGAATTCTGTTGTGTATTTCACAACCCAAAGCACCAATATTTCCAGGAACAGATGGTGTAAAATGAAAAAAAAATGAACACAAAGACGTGCACGTCTTCACGACAACACAGCGCATATAATGGCAAGGAATTCAAGGAGAGCGTGCCAAGTACTGAGACCTAATTTTATTTATTTATTTCACCCCAGAGTGGATATCCAGTTGGTTCTCATCCAAGGGAGAAAATATCTCCAGTAAGCACAAAGCCAAATCGCCCCTCTTCCCCCTCCCCCAAAAAAATATTTACAAAAAAATAAATAATTTGGAATCTCAACAGAGCAATAAACTTGGCCTCGATCCTCTGTTAAGCACTATCAACTGTTTTTATCCACTAAAGATGCAGACAGGTTTTAAAAGCTGTTACACACACACAAAAAGATCTTTCATGATATTTTTTGCTCATACCAGTTGTGCATGTGACAAATCACTGCCATTAGCAGCTCATTTTCACATATTTTACCCATTACTAGCTGTAATTTCCATGCTGATTCACCGCTCTTTGCTCCTCATCTGACAGTTCATTGGCTTTTTCATGTCTTGTTTGCATCATAGTTGTCAAATGCCTTTCACTACAGTTGCTCAGGGTCATGCAAAGTACTGAGGCAAAATGAGAAGCAGCCCTTGCCTTCACATTTAACAACACAATCAGAAAAGCTGATGCAACAGCCATGCCTTCTGTTTTTCTCGGTCTTCCTCCAAACTGGCAGCTGCCCGGATGGTCTCATCATTCATTAAGACTTGGATATCTTTTCAACTTTGCACCATCTCACAGTATTTTTTCTTTCCTTGCTGGTCTACTAAGATTTTAGATGTGAGAAAGGGATCAAGAATTCCACTTTCACCCATTAGTGCCACATAAACTAACAATGGAACTCGACTTTTGATTTCATAATAGAAAAAGAAAACATCTTCATGGTGCCCATTATGGATTAGAAAAACACACTCACATAATTATTATGGCATGTCATTTTCTGTTTGTGTTTGACTTAACTTTGCTTCAGAGGCTAGGAAGAGTGCTCAGCATATAAATCAGTTTATTGAGGGCGATTTTTTCATCTTCAGAAACCACAGAGACAGAAGAACACTTAAATGTTTAGCTTTGTTCCACCACAGTATACCCCCATGTCAAAGCCCTCACCATAAAATGTCAGAGCAAAGGGATAGAGGATTGAACTGTGTTGGCTTTGGACACAGGACTTGCGGTCGACAGCTGCTGAACTGGCATTAAATGGTATTAGAGTCTTTGTCAGCAAAAGGAAATGTGGTATTCTTCCTGGGAAATGGGATCAAAATTGTGTCTTTCAAAGGACAAATACAGAATCAGCACATCCTGGGGCAACACTTCACCGGCAGCTTTGTTGAAGCTTATTTCAGACGCTTCTTTGAAGCTATTTTGCAAGATAAAACCAAAGCAAAAGCAACAGGATTAGTTGAACAACTACTGGCAATAGAGAATGCAATGAAAAGTAAATGCAAACTAGGAACATGCAAGCATAAAACCAAATTAATTCCAGCATTCTGCACATTGTAGTCACAACAACACGATGCTTTACGCAAGACTGATGAGTGGATCATACCTTTATACCCCTGGTTGTTGCCTTGTTCGACTTCCTGTTCAGATGCGGGCGACTGGGTGATGACCTCATGGTTTCCTCTGTGTTTGTCTATATTTGTTTGCATGGAAAAACAACAGCAAGTGTAAAAAAAATACAGTATTTTTTGACCTACATAATATATGTAATCTATATCTTCATGGCCTAAATGTATCCACAAATAGTAAACTACACTGAAAATTGTTGCATATTGATTGTGAACACCGTAAGATAGTTTTTTTTTAAAAATGAACAAATAAATGTAAATCATCTCTCAGTACCCAAAAGAAAGAAGCATTTTTAACAAAGAAGTTTTATGAACTTCAGTTGACATTTTAGAAAAGGACTTAATGGTATTGAAATGATGACTGGGCTGGTTGAAGTGAATAAATAGATGAAGTTAAAAAGATGTTTCCCAGTAGATAAATACATTTTGCTTTGGAAGCACATTTTTATAAATGCCAACCCTGTGAAGTGTATTCAAATTTAATCCTGCAGTAGCAGAAAGGAGCGTACAAGTTTTCCTAATGACTTAGTCACAAGAGGAATGTGATCTTTTATGTGTAAGCCGAAACTAAATCTAATGCAACATCAATTATGATATAAAAAATTTAGCTTGGTATGCAGTAAAACTTTTGTATAGCTTACTGACATTCATATATATGTATTATGACCTTAAACTGAGAATGAAACATTTCTCAAAATGTTTTAGGTACATTTCTGTGTGTTTGCAATACTGTAAGCAGTCATTCTATTCATATGCATATGCTCACATAGATCAACCTCAAGGTTTTCATTAATTTCCCCCAAGATCGTCCCAATCTTGGGGGAAATTAATGGTGAGTGGTATGGATGTGATATGCTGTATAGTTTCAGATATTTTCTAAAAATCTACCACTAGAGGGCGCCACTGCCTAATCAATACAGCAGAGCTGGGTGGAAGAAAATGGAACAGAGGTATAATGTTTGGGCTTTTATAGTTTCGGTCCTTAAGTATTTACGTTTTTTAAATGATGCCCATAAACGCCAATATATAAGTAAAGCTAAAGGTTTACATATCTGACAAGGAGATTTAGTCATTTGAAACTGAAATAAAAGAACAGAACATCAAGCAAAATTACAAATTCCAATCTATTTTACATAATAACTGGTAGAAGATAATCTCACTCAAAGACAGCTCAAAGCGTATATAATTATAATCAGTGAGCTCGATTACAATGAAAGTTTGCATACACAGAGCAGCAATGCGCATTGTACAGTAAGGCAGGGTGTGCATTTCACTGAAAAAGACAAGAACAGATGCAAGTGATCTTTGTTTTCATGTTTTCATCCAGGACAACATAAATACACCTACAGGAGAAGTTCAAGTTAGTAAATCACAATAGTGCGTCCTAATATATTACTCTTCATCGTTCTCACACCCACGTATGAGATTCTCACCTGATAAAAAGTCCATGCCACAGCCCTGCTGCAGGTTGTTCATACAAAGCAGGCCAATGAGAATGAATATTTGAATAACCAGCATAGTCCCAAAAGGCAAAGTGGGTCTTCGGGAAGACCTGGAAAAAGAAGCTTGGACAAAAAGATGGGGGAAAAGAGTGTTAGCACATTTCAAATTTGGAACATCCTTTAGAAATAAATGGCTCAATATACTGTACATGTAGTTCCTTGTGTGCTTTATTGCTATTTTAAACCATTTTAAACTCCCAAAAAATGTAGGAAATTGTTACCACAGATATTCTTATTACAGTTCCAAAGTGAAATCATTCCTTCTCCATCATCTATCCTGCTGGCTAGTTTGTGCAGGCGTGT